GTTCTCCAATATATTCACCAGGTTTTAATCTCGAACCATGGAACTCAGACAAGAGCAAACATGTAGTTTCAATTGAAACAGGCCGGTAGCATGTTTCCAATTGAGCCCAAATTTGTTGGGCAGTTGCATCAGGTGGAAAAGGAACCTGCAGTTCAGTATCCATGGACATCAATAATGTTGTGCATGCTTTAGTATCTAAGTCTCTTATTGCAGGAGTCCATAGCTGGTCAGGAAGATTAAACACCATGCAATGGGTACCTTCTCTACGGAGTAAAAGTCCAACCTCACTGACCCATGCTTTATAATTTTGTCCTGAACGCTTTAATTTTGAATCACCAGCCAGTGGAACAACAGAAGATGCCTGTTGAGGAACATACACCTGAGGTACTATGGAAGTAAAGGCACTTGTCATTGTTGTGCTTGAATCTGTGGCTGCTGTATTCTGGCTGCCACTTGTGCATGAGCTGCCATATTAATATCGCCTGCTGGAGAGACTGGCGCTTCTCTTTGCTGCATTAATTTAATTTAATTTAATTTAATTTAATTTAATTTAATTTCCAATTTATATACCGCCCTTCTCCCTGAGGACTCAGGGCGGTGTACAGCCAAGATAAAAAACATAAAATACAAATATTAAAACATTTAAAAATATATATAAATTTTGGCCCGGAAGTTAAGAGTCACAAACTAATTAAAAGAATTTAAAAATTTTAAAAATTTCTTCTTAAGTCAACCCGGCTTGTTGAAAAAGATAGGTTTTCAGGGAACGACGGAAGGCATTGAGGTCCTGGATTCTTCTTATCTCCGGGGGCAACTGATTCCAGAGGGTGGGAGCCCCCACAGAGAAGGCCCTCCCCCTGGGGGCCACCAGCCTACATTGTTTGGCTGATGGCACCCTGAGGAGGCCCTCTCTGTGGGAGCGCACGGGTCGATGGGAGGTCATCGGTAGCAGCAGGCGGTCTCGGAGATAGCTAGGCCCTATGCCATGGAGCGCTTTAAAGGTGATAACCAACACCTTGAAGTGCACCCGGAAGACCACCGGGAGCCAGTGCAGCTCGCGCAGGAGCGGTGTTACATGGGAGCGCCATGTTGCTCCCATCACTACCCGCGCTGCTGCATTCTGGACCAGCTGGAGCCTCCGGGTGCTCCTCAAGGGGAGCCCCATGTAGAGAGCGTTACAGTAGTCAAGACGAGAGGTGACGAGGGCGTGAGTGACTGTGCACAAGGAATCCCGATCAAGAAAGGGCCGCAACTGGCGAATCAGGCGAACCTGATAAAAGGTCCCCCTGGCAACAGCCGTCAGATGTTCCTCCAAAGACAGCTGCCTATCCAGGAGGACTCCCAGATTGCGAGCCCTTTCAGTGGGGGCCAAAGACTCGCCCCCAATAGTCAGTGATGGAGTCAACTGACTATATCGGGATGCCGGGAGCCACAGCCACTCAGTCTTGGAAGGGTTGAGCCTGAGCCTGTTCCTCCCCATCCAGATCCGCACAGCCTCCAGGCACTGGGACATCACTTCAAGGGCATCGTTGGGGTGGCCTGGGGTGGAAATGTACAGCTGGGTGTCATCAGCGTACTGGTGGTATCTCACCCCAAAGCCACGGATGATCTCGCCCAGCGGCTTCACATAAATGTTGAACAGAAGGGGCGAGAGGACCGATCTCTGCGGCACTCCACAAATGAGAGGCCTCGAGGTCGACCTCTGCCCCCCTGCCAACACAAACGTTAAGCGTTGTTGTGCCCCATCTAAATTAGGAATTTGGACAAAAAGGTCATCAGTACCACCAGGGGGTACTGATGATTGAGCCTGTGGAGGCTCGGTTGCAGCCTGAGGAACTGATTGATTTAGAGACATCGTTGAAATAGTTTGATGTAATTTTCTTAACTGCTGTTGCATCTTGGAGTGAATTTCAGCTTTATTTTGTAAATTACTTTCGCCAGCAGGTGGTGCTGCAACATTAGTTTTGGGCATTGCAAAGTCATGTGTAATCAGAGAAGGTCCAGCATCACGAGACACATGTGACGTGTCCACAGCTCTCTGTTCTGATTTGCCTGACACGATACCCACTTGTGGGTGTGGCTTTGGCTTTGGCTTTGGCTTTGGAGACAAGATGGAGGACTCAGGAATTTGAAAACGACGAGAGTCCCTCTTATCTGGTTTAAGTATAGAAACAAACGCTTTTGCCTTGTGCAGCTCATGTTCTAGAAACTCTATTTGATCACAATAACTTTGCACAGCCTTATCATGCAGAGTTTCTTCAGGGGTAGGAGGAGAATAATGAATTTCACCGCTCTCTGTGGGTAAAGAAAACCCAGTTGCTTGTGGAATTTTAGGTTTGGCATCAAGCCTTTCAAATTCCTGGGCTTCGATAGGAACTAATTGGGGGCATATGGAATCAGAAGGGGCGTCACTGACCTCAGCGGCATGTCGTCTTCATTAACAGCTCCCCCAACAGCACCTTCCTCAATTCTGGTTGCTGAAGCAAGCGATGTTTGACAAGTTGAAAGCCTCTTTAAAATCTTTTTTGCTTCTTCATCAGAGAGATCAGAGAGATATATGTCTTCAGCAGACAGTGCTCTGTATTTTGTTTTGATCTTTTTCTTTCTCGGCATATTTACAGTAAATAATCAGTGTTCCTCAGTCGCCGACTAAATCTATCTGCTTAATTGCCTATTCGCTTATCAGTTGAGTAACAGCCAAGGAAAACAAAATAAATCAAACCATCCTCTGCTACCATTGTCGAAGCGTGAATCAGCCTTGTCCCCCTCCCCCCCTGGGAAACTGTAATTAATTAGAGGTGAATGAATCTTGTTTTCCATGGTGTATACTCTCAAAGAAAGAAAACCCGAAGTATATATTCTAAGAAACATTTTATTATAAAAGTACAAAACTAGCCAACTACATCTTACTGGATAAAGGAAAGAATCAGGAAGTTAGAAAAGAAAGAATGTAGACATGTGCAGTAGTCCAATGTCTCACAAGACCAGCCTTATCTCAGCTACAGATAAGGTTCTCTGACCAGGCTACCATAAGTCTTAGAATGGGAGCTCAGCTGGCAAACACTTAACACAATGATATGTTAACTATTCCTGCCACTTTAGTGTTGTCTTCAAATTTGATGATTTCCCCATTTCTCCCCTCATCCAAATCATTCATGAAGATGTTGAAGAGAACTGGGCCTAAAACAGAACCTTGGGGTCCCCCACTGCTTTTTTCCCTCTGTGCAGACGTTGTTCCATTGAGGACCACAGGCTGAGCCCATCTGGGGGTGATGCTGTCTATCCCACATATTTTTAGCTTCCTGAGAAATAGGTTGTGGTTTACTTTGTCAAAGCCTTTCTGAAATCCAAGTACTGTATACTACATGCACTGCATTTCATTGGTCCATTACGTTAGTCATTTTTGTCAAAAAATGAAATAACATTTATTTATGATCTGTTTTGGGATCCTTTATTAGTCCTAGTAAGTCATTCATATCTATACTGAATAACAAGGGTTCAAATATGCATCTTTCCCTTCCCCCTTGGTAAGCCTAGATCCTTCTTCTCATGGCTCCATTGAGCCCAAACCTCCCTCTCAAACAAGGGCTTGGATCAGGGCCAACAGGCTGAGCTCCATTTTCAGGGCAAAACATTTTCTCCATATCTCTGTTTATTGAGTCAAATGCTGCACTAACATCTAGAAAGTAGCAAACCTTGTTTTACCTCACAGATATAGCTTAGATATTTCAAAACAAATTTGTTGCCAATATTAGATTGTTAATTTATGCCTTATTTCTTATAAAATCTATATAGCTTTTAATTCTACCTAAAACATTCTGGTTCTTCTGCAAGAAACACATTTTTCTCAAGTTGATCTAAGAGGGTCATGGCATAAATTTTAGCCACAATATCTACTAGTCTATTTAGTCTATAGTTGCTAGAGTCCTTTTTATTCCACATTCTAGACAGATAAAATGTTACTATTGCTAACTTCAATCTGCCTGGATAGGACAGGCAACATTTATCTGTGAAAATGAAGATGCCAATAGATGCCCCAACAACCAAGGATATTTTTTGATCAGTTAAATAGTTGGTAGAATGTCTTCTCCAGGGAATGTATTGCTTGCATTTCAGGCCTTTTATGATGAATCTCAACATACATAATGGGGTAAAATATTGAATTTTTTGCTAATATGGAGAAAAACAGCTCTTGAATTCCATGGAGAAGACATGATTGCATCTATTGCTCTCCCACCACCACCCAACCCTCACATTACCAGAGGGAGAAAAACACACACAAACCTGTGGGATTTTGTAGGTGCCTCCTAATGTTGACATCTGGATGGAGATGTCCCTGTGAGCTGCATCAAGAAGAGCCAGAAGGTTCTCCTTCCTTCCACAGCCGTAGTTGGGGACATTGGCTTCTCCAGTGGAGAGCATGTCCAGCAAGGCATCTGAAGTGTGGAAAGCACTCAAATAGTTGTCATGGATGTTGTAGCCAAGTGTGAGGTTGTGTAAGAGTTGGGAATTCTTGTTGGCCAATTGAATGGCGAAAATGAATCGTAAGCCATAATGAAAACCATAAATGTTCCTGTTGTTAAAACATGTTATTATAATCAAAAGCAACAATAAATACTGGTTTTAATATATAATCCTCCACAAACCTACTCAGCCTTAAGCCAACATTGATCCAAACCAATGATCAGTTACACACATATGGACATGGGCTGCGATACAGCATCTACAACTGGTTCCACCACTACTTTAAATTCATTATCCAAGTAATAAATTAAGAACTGGACAGAGAGAGGAAAATAATCTGAAGTATTTTCAGCTTTTTTTCAGACCCTTTTTTGAGTCTCTTTCACAAAATCAGACCAAAGAGAGAAGCCATGGAAATCAAAATCATTCAGGAAATTAGACATATTCCCCAATATAGGAATAAATGAAAAATAAAAAACTGAAAAGGAGAGTGTTAGAATGGAGGGAGTGCAACTCCATCACCCTGAATGACTTACGGATCTTTGAAAACAAACTGAAGAGAAGGAGCCATGTTGAAAAGCAACTTTGTATGCAATATTTCCCTTCCACTGGTGACTACACCAATGAGATGGTCTCCTGGGCTGTAGTAGCTCCGTGGTTGTTTTCCATCCTGGTTCTCCAAACTCAGCGGGCATTTCATTCTCAGCTTCCCAGAGACTGGATGGGACAAAAGCAGCATCAGAAGCAGAAGCAGGAAGTCCATCATTCATGGCGTGAATCAATGAATCCCTTCCCTGTTTCTAAAGAAGATTTAGAAGAATCAAAGGACTCTCACAAGGTGGAAACTCCAGTTGCTTTTTCTCAACACAGAGAAACACTCAGCTTCACCTGGAAAGGAGGGAGACGTAGATTCAAGAGCACAGACTCTGCCTGTCCCAAAACTCCATATTTCTCTGCCCAAAGTCTCCCCTGGAGGATTCGGCCAAAGAGCAGAGCTGAAACTTTTATCATAATTCTCCCTCTCAGGAGGGATCCCTGGATAATTCAACTAGTTCTTGCAGTCAAAGATTGTTGGGAAATTCTCTGGAGGGAAATGAAAGGGAAATAATCCTCATGTGATTCATAATAATAGGGGCAGAGATGGAATTAAATCTGTTATCTAGAATTGAGAGGTTTGGGAGCTCCATGCTTGAAAGTGGCCCCCAGAGGGAATACACGGCACCTGTGGCTGAAGAAACAAATAGTTAATGCCAGAGTATGTCACAGATCTGAGTTGGAACTAAAATTTACTTTATTTTGAAAGCTAATGCTCAAGGGCAGCACAGAAGAACAAAGATCCAAGAACAAAATCAACTTTAATAAAAACCTAGTTTTTCAAACTTTGCAATGTAAAAAAAATCACATCCACACAGAGAGAGAGAAGTTAGAAAATAAGAGTGAAAAGAGATGGAGAGGCTGCCTCTTACCCCATGTGGGGAGGGAGGGGAGGGAGGGAAGGGGAGCTCAGGACCCTCATGTTGCAGATGGAAAACTGATCTACAAAATCCAACTTCCATTTTCAGAAACCTGGGAATGCAGAAGCCCATGTCCCATGTTCCCCTGCCACCCTTTCCCATGCACAGGCCAAGCAAGGGGGCTCTTGCAGGGATGCCAGACAGGATTCTGTCTGGGGAGCCCCTCTTGGGAGAAGGAAGCTGGGGAGCCTCGTGGTGGGGACGGGGAAGGGAAGCAGATGTGCAAAATCCCCCTCCAGGTTCCATCTTCTGAGTCCTGGGAAGGGGGGAGACCATATCCCATGTTGCTCAGCCACCTCCTTCCATGCATGGGGCACTCAGGGGAAAGCAAAGCCCAGATCCACGGAGAAAGCCCACGATGGCCAGAGAAGAGGAGGGGATCTGGGGCATTCCTGGGAAGAGATTAACCTGATTTATGGGTCCCAGGGTTGAATGTTGGGGGGATGCAGCCCCCGGGGTTTCTCCAGCCTTGCTTGGGCTCCGTGTCCTGTGGGGAAGAAGCCATGCAGGGTTGGGGGATCCCACATTGCCTGGGAGGAAAAGGCAGCCGGCCTCACCCTGGAGGAAGTTGGGGGTCCCCTATGGCCCCTCCAGAGCCCCCAGCTGAGGAGAGCCTCTTCATTGCAGCCTTTTCTGGGAAAGGGGCTTAAGCCCCCTCCCTCTGCAATTCTGGGAGCTTTTGCCTCTTTCTCATCCCCCCCCCAAGCTCTGAATTTTGCTCTTTATTTGACCCCGCCACCCTTTGGCTTGGCTTCTTCATCCTCTTCTCCATCAGGCTGAGGGCAGGGAAGCTCCCAGGCAACTGGCTCTTCCCCCTCTTTGATTGGCTACAGGGTTGTCATGACAAAGAGGGCAGGAATAGAGGCAGCCAGTAGAGAGAAAGAGAGGCGGGACTTTTGCCTTCCCTGAGAACTGGAGGGTTTGGATGCGAAATCTGCTTTCTTTTGGGAAATCCTGCTCAGATGAAGCCCAGAATCAGAAGGAAAGAAGAGACAGAGAAAATGAAGGAACATTTAAAAGATATATTAAAAAATGAAAGAAAAATTAAAACTTTGAGAGAACAAGAATAGAAAACAGAAACTAAAAGAAGATTTTAAAAAAGATCAAAGTCTGTAGGAAAAAGAATTTAACTTTATAAAGAGTGACTCTTGAGAGACACATTGCAATTAAAACCAAAGAATTATAAATGTCGGCCTCAAGCAACTATTTTGGAAATGTGAGGTATATCTGCAGTTTCTCCGCTTGTTCCTGGCTTGTTGCTGAGGCTGCTAATCAACCCAGAGATATAAAACAACAGCTTAAAAGGAGGAAGCCTAACCAGGGATTAGCCAAACAAACTAGGATTCATCGCAAAATTGTCTCGCGCTTACTCAGCAATGTGTGAATTAGCCAACTTTTGGTGCAGGGCTTTAATTCCTGACAAAAGGGAAGAATGTCGACCAGCATTTTTCACACTTGGAACTTGAAGATGATTGGACTTTAATTCCCAGAATCTTCTGGCCAGCATGGCCAGTGAATCCTGGGAGATGAAATCCATCATTGTTGGATGGGGAATTCTGGGGGTTGAAGTCCATTCGTCTTAAAGCAGTGGGTCTCAACCTTCCTAATGCCGCGTCCCTTTAATACAGTTCCTCATGTTGTGGTGACCGCCATCCATAAAATTATTCCTAAAACCATTGAAAATATGTGTTTTCGGATGGTCTTAGGCGACCCCTGTGAAAGGATCGTTCGACCCCCAAAGGGGTCCCGACCCACAGTTTGAGAACCACTGTCTTAAAGTTTGAAAAAGACGGATGCAGGCCAACAACTCTCCACGTTACCTCCATTTTGGAAAACAACTAACAGACCTGAAGAGACCATCATCCCTCGGTCAGCTTCATAATGCAGAAAGCATGAATTGTTTTGGCCATCAGAAGTGAAACATGGCACAGGTAACGGGGTTGACATATAACTCTAAGACCTTGATCCTGGTTTAGAAGCCATCCTGGTTGGTTCTGAAAACTCTCTAAGCCAACATTGAGCAAAGCCTGGGATGCCCTCTGAATTCGGCCTCTTCCTGGCCCTTCCCAGACTCTGAGTGAGGCTGTCAGGCCCAAAACCTCCCTGGAGCAGGAATGGCTGGCAGGAGCTTCCAGGGGAGCCTCCTTGGCTCTTTCTCTCTGGCTGTAACCACTGAGCCCACCGGCTCCTCCTTGGGGGACAGAACAGCCTCCTCCGAACCTCCGTCTTTGGCATCTGCTAACGGCATAGTTGTGGGACAGAGCGAGAGAGAGAGATGAGAAAAAGGATCAATACTTACCAACAGGTAACACGGAAGGGTGCATACTGCAACTCTTGTTCTTCAGTCTAGATATGAATACTTAACAGGACTAAGGAACATACCTAAAGTGCTCAATTATTTATTTGTTTAGCAGTTGACAAAGGTATAATTAGCCAGGAGTCTACAATGTTAGTACATATATTTGTTTCATTGCCAAAGAGTGCGAGTCCGTTCAGTTTGTGCCCATGAGCTTCTCCAGGGTGCATCACGGGGTGAAGCAGCTCCGCACCAGAAAGCCGAGAGGTGTCCTGTGGCATCATCTGGGCCTTCTCTCACCACCGATGGTGCCTCACAGTTGGGTGTCACATCTGAACAAGGCCAGCACTGGCAGGGGCCCAGCCATCTGCCCAAAACACAACACATTTCCCACCAAAGTGGTACCTATTTATCTACTAGCGTCGTCACATGCTTTCAAACTGCTAGGGGGGCAGAAGCTGAGGAAAGTGACGGGATCTCACCCCGCCATGCATGGTAGGACTTAAACTGCAGGAACAGATTCAGCATCTTTAAGCCCCCGAGCCTCTTACTTGCTAAATACACATTGGTTTAAACTGATTATACAATACTATTATCCTGTGGGTTACAGAACAGAATAGAATAGGAATAGAATAGAATAGAATAGAATAGAATAGAATAGAATAGAATAGAATAGAATAGAATAGAATAGAATAGAATAGAATAGAATAGAATAGAACAGAAATAGAATTAGGATAGGATAGGATAGGATAGGATAGGATAGGATAGGATAGGATAGGATAGGATAAGAATTAGAATAGAGTAGAGTAGAATAGAATTAGAATATAATAAGAATTAAAATTAGAATTAGAATTAGAATTAATAAGAATAGAATAGAATAGAATAGAATAGAATAGAATAGAATAGAATAGAATAGAATAGAATAGAATAGAATAGAATAGAACAGAAATAGAATAGAATAGAACAGAAATAGAATTAGGATAGGATAGGATAGGATAGGATAGGATAGGATAGGATAGGATAGGATAGGATAAGAATTAGAATAGAGTAGAGTAGAATAGAATTAGAATATAATAAGAATTAAAATTAGAATTAGAATTAGAATTAATAGAATAGAATAGAATAGAATAGAATAGAATAGAATAGAATAGAATAGAATAGAATAGAATAGAATAGAATAGAACAGAAATAGAATTAGGATAGGATAGGATAGGATAGGATAGGATAGGATAGGATAGGATAGGATAGGATAGGATAGGATAGAATAGAATAGAATAGAACAGAAATAGAATTAGGATAGGATAGGATAGGATAGGATAGGATAGGATAGGATAGGATAGGATAGGATAGGATAAGAATTAGAATAGAGTAGAGTAGAATAGAATTAGAATATAATAAGAATTAAAATTAGAATTAGAATTAGAATTAATAGAATAGAATAGAATAGAATAGAATAGAATAGAATAGAATAGAATAGAATAGAATAGAAGGATACCAGCAACAAAGTTACAGTCATACAGTCATAAGTGGGAGGAGATGGGTGGTGGGAACGATGAGAAGATTAATAGTAGTGCAGACTTAGTAAATAGTTTGACAGTGTTGAGGGAATTATTTGTTTAGCAGAGTGATGGCGTTCGGGGGAAAACTGTCCTTGTGTCTAGTTGTTCTGGTGTGCAGTGCTCTATAGCCTCGTTTTGAGGGTAGGAGTTGAAACAGCTTATGTACAGGATGTAATCCTAACCCTAACCCTAACCCCTCCCCTCCCTCCCCTCCCTCTGGGAACCGTTTTGAAGGGATTGGTGCCTTTTGTGGGATATATGAGAAAAGGATCTTTCCGTCTAGAGACGCCTTGAGGGTATAAATACGTAAGTCCTCAACTTACGATGGTTCATTTAGAGACTGTTCAA